TTTTCTAAACCTTCCTGTTCCTCACACAACGTCTTGTACCTACCATAATACCTCACGTAGTAATTGAACTAGACCTCTGTGAAGCTCTATAACCTTACTCGTGCACAATCGTGACATATATAAAGTCTTATAAAAGATAATAAATAACTATAGCGCTAGACAACCTTTATAAGCTAATTCTACAGCTAAATTATAGAAGCTAGGTAATAAAAAAGAGCAGGTAATTATTAAGACTATACTTAAGCTATATACGCAAAGAATTTCCCCTTAGATAGCATTTATAGCTAATATAGCTAATTCTTTGCGCGCTAAGCATAATCTAGGCTATATTTACATAAACTAGCCTAGTATGTTTATAAAGCGTTATTTAGAGCTTAAAGTAAAGTTTTAAGCGCAAGTATAGTTAAAAGATATTTAGCTAATTATAAACTTTATCTTACTAAAGTTATACATGTTATTATTCTAAATGCTATACTTAGCTTTAATATTCTTTACAAGGCTAAACCTGCTTTAAATTACTCTAGAACTCTTATAAAAAGCTCTCTTATAGTTATACTTACGCTTAAATGTTACTTTAAGCTCTAAATAACGCTTTATAAACGTACTAAGCTAGTTTATGCAAACATAGCCTAGATTATACTTAGTGCGCAAAGAATTAGCTATATTAGCTATAAATGCTATCTAAGGGGAAATCTCTTGCGCATAACGTACTTTATAGGCGAGTTGCTCATACACTGTCACGGTATCCTCCCTAAGTTGCTTACTTTTGCTAAGACCCTACCACACTACTCTTTCTACACTAATGCATTTCTAATAACACTACTTAAACGTGTTAAAAGAATATTAGATGCAGCTTATGCTTTAGGCTTTTAAATAAAACGTGCCACTTTCTAACTAACATGCTGCAGCTATCTACAGGGTCTCTTAAAAGATAATAAGTAACTAATGCGCTAGACAACTTTTTTAAGCTAATTATACAGCTAACTTACAGAAGCTAGATAATAATAAGAAGTAGGTAATTATTTAGCATATACTTAAGCTAGATGCGTAAGGATTTCCCCCCTAGCTAGTAGCTGTGGCTAATATAGCTAATTTTTTACACGCTAAGTGTAATATAGGCTATGTTAGCATAAACTAGCCTAATATGTTTGTTAAGCATTACTTAGAGCTTAAAGTAAAGTTTAAGTGTAAGTATAACTATAAAAAAGCTTTTTATAAAAATCTTATAGTAATTTAAGGCTAGTTTAACTTTATAAAGAATATTAAAGCTTAGTATAGTATCTAGAATAATAACATGTATAACTTTAATAAAATAGAGTTTATAATAAGCTAGATATCTACTAGAGTAGTTGTTATAAGTTTAGAGAGATAAGGACAGCTAAAAGCAGTCTAGCTAGGTAACTAGGAGTAGACACCAGCTATCTAGAGCATTAATGCTAAAAGGTAGGCTATTCTGCCTTTTATTATCTTTTAGGGTGGTAACTACTTTTTAAACTAGTATAAAAAGAAAAATTTACTCTAAAATTAGATTATTATAATTTTTAAGCGTAGCTAGACTACTAATTAGCTTAGTCTAGACTAGTTAAAGCACTTTAATGTGCATATAAAAAAGTGTACTGTTAGCAGCTACTATCTGCTAGTTATTAACAGCTATAAGAGCTATAACTTACTTTATTTTTAGTAATACTATAAGGATAATAAGATTATTACTATTTACATACTTTTTTACTTATTACACCTTTTATAGCTACTTAATGTGGGTTATTTTACTCTTTTAAAGAAAGTGTATAAGTGCTAAGCTAAAAACCTTATGCACAACTAAATTACTTATATTATAAAGATAGAGTTTCTGCTATGCTTTAAAGCAGCCTATAATGCTGTAATTACTTCTAGTAATATCTAAAAAAGGTTCTAAGGCGCTAGATTAGTTCCTTTTAACCTATAACAAGTTATAATAGGCCTTAATGTAAAGTTGCGCACTCTATTACTACTACTACCTATATATAATAAGCCCTAGCAGTTGTAAACTCTAAGTAATACCTTAAAACTTAAGTTATAATTAATGCTTATAAAAATAAAGATTTAAAAGCATATAAATAGTTTACTAACTTTTATAGTTAAAGTGTTTAAAAAGGTCTTAAAGGAGGTAGTAATAATTACACATAAGCTAGTATTAGTGTAATAAGAAATTACTAAGCTTTAAGCAGCTAATAAGGCTACTACATAACATAAATTACATAAAAGAAAGTAGATTAAAGTAGAAAAAACCTTAATAATTTAAAAAAGCCTACGCTTAATAGCTCTAAAGGAGTTTAAGGCGCGCAGTAATAAGAAGAAGGCAAAGAAGCAAGTGCAAGCTAAAGTAGGTAAGCTATTCTAAAGGCGCTGCAGACAGTGCAATTAGACTAGGCATAACACGCAAATGTGTAAGCAAGAAGCAGAAGTAGTATCTAAATAATATTCTAGGCTGTACTGTACTATATAGTGCTAGAGCAGGTTGTTATAGGCTATAATAGAGTTTATTAGGGTGGGGTCTTAGCAAAAGTAAGCAACTCAGGTGTGTGAGCGACTCGCCTATAAAGTACGTTATAGCTTAAGTATAGTTTTAATAATTACCTGCTTTTTTTTATTACTTAGCCTTTATAATTTAGCTGTAGAATTAGCTTGTAAAGGTTGTCTAGCGCTATAGTTATTTGTTATTTTTTATAAGACTTTACATATAGCTATAGCATATTTCTTTAAGAGTTTTATGTCTTGTTTAAAAGCTTAGAGCATAAGCTGTATCTAACATTCTTTTAGCGCGTCTAAGTAGTGTTGTAGGGAATGCATTAGTGTAGGAAGGGTAGTTTAGTAGGGTCTTAGCAAAAGTAAGCAACTTAGGTGTGTAAGCAACTTGCCTGTGAAGTACGTTAGTAGTAATAAAGTATATAACTAGATATTAAAAGCTATTTTAACTTATTTTAGGTTAAATAAGACTAAACTAGCGCTTTAAACCCCTTTTTAGATATTACTAGAAGTAATTACTATATTATAAGTGTGTATAAAGCATAGTAGAAACTTAAGTTTTATAATATAAGTAATTTAGTTATACATAAAATCTTTAGCTTAGCGCCTATATACCTTCTTTAAAAAAGCAAAATAACTTACATTAAAAAGCTATAAAAGGTGTAATAAGTGTAAAAGCATGTAAATAGTAATAATTTTATTCTTCTTATAGTACTACTAAAAATTAAGTAAGTTATAGCTCTTATAGCTATTAATAATAAAAAGCTAATAAGCGCCTATAACCTTTTTTTATATGCTTATTAAAGTGCTTTAACTACTGCAGCCTAAGCTTATTTATTGTCTAGCTATTTTTAGAGACTGTAATAACTTAGTTTTAAAGTAGATTCTTTTTTTTATACTAGGCAAAAAAGTAATAGCAGCCCTTAAAAATAATAAAAAGTAAAATAGCCTACTTTATTATATTAATACTCTAGATAACTATTATCTACTTTTTATTACTTTACTATATTACTTTTAGCTGTTTTTATCTTTTTAAAGCTATAATAACTACTTTAGTTAATATTTAGCCTATTATAAAGCTTAACTTATTAAAGTTATATATGTCTTTATTTTAAATACTATACTTAGCTTTTATGTTAGCTACTAGGCAAAACTAGCCTTAGATAACCTTTAGATTTTCATAAAGTGCTTTTTTATAATTATACTTATAATTAAACTTTATTATAAACTTAAGGTAGTGCTTAACTTATATACTAGGCTAGTTTAAGCTAACCTAGCCTAGATTACGCTTTACGCGTAAGAAATTAGCTATATTAGCTATAGCTGTAAGCTTAAAAAAATCTGTGTATAATAAGCTTAAGTATATACTTAACAACTACTTTTTTTTAAGCTTAGTTAGATTCCTTAATTTAAGCTAGTATTCTGCTTATAAAGGCTCTTTAGCGTGTTAATTGCTTAGTGTTATGTAAAAAACATTATAAATAGCTATAGCGCATTATAAGAAAAGTTTTAAGTTTTATTTAAAAGCTTAAAAAGTAAGCTGTATTTAATATTCTTTAAAAGATTTAATCTAGTGTTATTATTAAGGCATTATATAGATAGGTAGAGTGTGGTAGGGGCTTAGCAAAAGTGGCCGGCCAACCCGTTAGGTACGTTGCTGCGCATAGATAAACTCTTATTAAGACTTACTAAGGTAGTAATTTTTACTAAGTTTAATATTTACATAGCTTTTAATAAAATTAGAATAGATCTAAGCTTTAAAAAGTGTACTACCTTTTAGACATAATATAAAACTTATAAGTATAAAGTTTTGCTTTTTAGATTATGTAATAGTCTAGTAACTTACTAGTGCTATATAAATAATATATTAATTAACTATTTAAACAACTTTTATATTACTTATCTAAATAACATTTTTATCTACTTTAAAAATAAAGTAACTTATATTTTTTATATTAAAAAAGTTTTAAAAAGACTCTAGTAAGCAAAATTATAAGTAAAGATTAAAAAAAGTAAATTTTATATTACTTAAATAAAGTATCTTAGCTATATACTTTTGTAGAGGATAAAATAGCCTAGCAGTAGCTGTTTAGAAGATTAGATGAAGTAACTCTGCTATCTAAGAGAGCTGAGGGCTCTCCTTATATACACTAAGCTTTAGAACATAATATCTCTAGATCCTGAGCTGCGTCCCAGGCTCTGAGCCCCCAGTACCAGGCTCCAAGCCCCAGTCCCAGGCTCTAAGCCCCAGCCAAGGCTCTCAGTATACGCGACACACCCCCCAGGTGAGCTGCGCAGCAGCTCACCTGCGTTAAGCGTTAACTTAGCTTGTTAGAGCAGCGCTGTGCGTTTACCCTATGTTTATGCTTATTGCTTTAGGCAGCGCAATGCTTGTTTCCCTAGGCAGCGCAGGTCACATGTGTGCTGTAATTACTGCAACAGAGGTAAATAAATTCTGCTGCTTTTTAAGCTTCTTTTCTATAAGTCCTAATAACATGCTGCGTGTAAGTTTATGCTTTTAAGAGCTTTAAAAATAACTTTAAACTTATCTGTAATCTCTACTAACATGCATCTGTAGCTTAATAAAGCTAAAAGAGCCGCCCGCTTGCGTGCTGCTGCTCTGCGGGGCCGCGTTGCCCGCAAGCCTGCGCCCACTACCCCCCGCCGCGCTGCGCCCGCCACCCCCCGCCGGCGCCCGCTCCCCGGCCCGGCCTCGACTCCCTGCCGGCCTCCCCCTAGTGCGCTCCGCGCGCAGTCCTGTCTAGGCTCCATAAAGAGTGCGCTTGCAGGGCGCTCTAGTAGGGAGTGCTATAATTCCGCCACTAGCAGTTTACGCTGCTAGCGCTGTTCCTCTAGGCACAGCTACCTACCTCTGTAAGCTCTATAGCAGTGTGTAAGGTAATCTAGCTTTTTAACTTATTTATAGTTCCCCTATTACTATTATCTATGCGCAGCGCCTTGTTGCAGCGCTTGTTATAGAGGACAAGCAGGTAAGCTTCTCTGCAAAGATTATGTGTTATACCCTAGATTAAACTAACAGGCTATAGGCTATGTTCTAGCTTTAGCTAGTAGTTTAAGCTCTACTTAAAAAAAAATGTTATAAAGAAAGTAGTAAAAAAAAAGAAAGAAAAAAAAGGAAGTAGAAGAGAAGGTAGAAGTAGTAAAGAAGAAGAAGCAAGGTGTTGTCTCCCCTAGGCTCCTAGCGCGTTGCTAGCGCGCTAAGGAGCTCTTAAGTAAGCTTATTAATCTTCTTATAGTTTAAGCATTTTATGTTTTCTATGTTTTTACACATCTTATGTATTAAATCCCTACTTAAACTCTATAGCATAAAGAAGTGTCTCTACTAGTAAATAGCCCTCTTATTTTTAAGTAGTGTAAAAATGTCTTTACTATTAATAATTAATGTTTTTTTCTTTTAAAAGCTTATTTATATGTCTTTAAAGTTAAGAAGCTGCTTAAAGTGCTTAAATTACTACTTTAGTAGGTACTTTATAAGCCTATCTACTAGCATATTACTTATTTTAATATAGCGCACTTTAAAAGATTCTTTTATGTGCTCTTAGCGCAGCTACATGTTTTATATATTAATGTAGCGTAGGTAGGTAGTTATCTAAGCGTTCTCTTCTACTACTAACCTAATTATCTGCTAGTTGTTATAGTAGATCTGCTATAGTGTGCCTAGCTTTAGAGTAAGCTCTTTAAAGAAGCGTTTTAAAGTTAGTAATTCTTTTATAATGTGCGCTAGAGCAAGTAGCTTAGCTTTTATTATAAACATAGTTACTATTAGCTAAAAAGCTACTTTTTATCAAATTAGTTCTTTAATAAGTAAAATAATGTATCTATAAAATAATTATTTAGTCTCTATGTAATTAGCAAAAGATGTGTTTTTACACATAATAAGTTACACACTTTCTAGTGCTTTATACTATATACTTATATGCCTTATGCAGTACAGGTACACAATTGCCTAGTTTACTGCCTAAAAGTGCTGCTTTCCTAGGTTTGTTAGGTAGTAGGAGAGCTAAGATGCTACAAACGCTACATTAGAGCGCACTATAATTATAGTGTAAAGTATTAATCCTACACACTTTTAGTATTCTTTAATTTTATACTTTATTACTAATCCCTAGTTGCTTATAAGCTCTTTTAATAGTAAAAAAGTTTCTAAGAAAAGTGCGCTTTTTATAAAGTTAAACTTCTTTGCTACTTTTTTAATATATGTGTTATATACTAGCTAGATTATTTTAGCCTTTTTATTTTTAATTATTTTAATTTTTAAAAACTATTTACATAGCTTTTAATTTTCTAGCTTGTATATTTTTTTAATTATACTAATTAATTAGTAAGCTTCTAACTTATTATTATAGTAATAAATATAAAGTATATTATCTACATAAAAAAAGTAAGATATAGTAATTATAGTTAAAGAATAAGCATAGCTTTTTTTTAAATAAGATAAGCTTAAGCTTTTAAAAAGCTTATAAAAGCTTTTAGTACTATAAAATTAGTAAGTTACATAGTCTATATAAGGCTTAGAGAAGCTTAACACACATGCTAGGCTTTATAAAGCCTTTTAAAAGCTTGCATGTTACTTCTAGCTTACTTTTATAGTGTGTGTTTAGAAACGCACTTATAACATTATATTACCTAATCTCTAGGTTAAATTAAGCTGCTATTACTATTACTATTTAAAAGAATCTAGCTGCAAGAGTAGTAGTATAGGTTAACTAGAGTAAGTCCTTACTCTAGAGATTACTGCGTACGCAAATGCAAGCTTTACATTTAGCAAAATACTTATTTTAGTTAAATTTATATGTAAATACCTACTTTAGTAGAAGCAGCTTAAATATTGCTTTAGTTTACATAATTTTTTTCTAAGTGCCTTTTTTTAGTAGAGTAGCTATCTCTTTTTATACTATAATTTTAAAAAGATTTTTATATAAGTATTTATATAAATCTTTTTATTTTAAAAGTTTTTTTAGAAGCTTATAAGCTCTTAGTTAAAGCTACCTAAAAAAGGCAGCTATAAAAAACACTATATAAAGTGTTTTAAGCGCTTTATTATTATAAGTAATAAATGCTTTAAAAAAGTTTATTTAAAAGTGCTCTAGATTAACTAGAGTAATGCGTATACTACTTCTTTCTAAGAGTGTTGTATATATACCTCTGCTTCCTGCACCTATAGGCTTACCTAGGTTATTAGGATCTTGCCTCTATATTCTTTAGCTTATACGTGTAGCTAGTCCCTAGCTTTTTTTATTATACACATGTTTAAAAAGTGCCTTACTTACTTTAACTAAAGCTATAAAAGATAATGTCTTAATATAAAAAGTAAAAGTTAATTTTTTAACTAGCAAGTTAGCTATTTAACTTAATAAGCTTAGTAGATCTGCTTCTTTAGTTAAGTGCACTTACTAGAAATTACTAGTATGCTTGTGCCTACCCTGTATAGGGCGTGTTGTAGAGCTATCTGTAAGCTCTAGCTTAGAAGTTAGCTCTAAAGTAATAAGTGCTATATGTTTATTAGAAACTGCGCAAATTCTTAGTAACTTACTTATTATGCTTATTACCTGCGCAGTTACTTTTACTTTTAAGTGCTAATTCTTTAGCTAGCTAACCTAAGTTTTAATAAGCTTTTTAGTTTCTATACTTTTAAGCTTACACTTTTAGGGCCTTTAATTTAGTATATTACTTTACTACTTATCTAACTTTTAAGGTAGAAGCTTAAAGGCTTTTTTTACATTATAAATCTTACTTTACTTATTAAAAATTTTAATAATTTTAAAGGCTTTTTTTTAGAGAATTAGCTTATTACTTTTATTTTTATAAAAGTGTGTCTTATTAAAAGCTATGTTTCTTATAGTAATTACTTAGTTAAGTAACAAGACTTATATTTTATAGATATTTAAAGCTTTATAGCCTATAAAATATTCTATGTAGCCTTATAAAGTTACTTTAAAGCTTTGCTTCTAACGCCTAGCTGCTTACTTCCTGTTAAGTAGGTAAGCGTAACAGCTATATGTGTAGGTCCTGCTTTAATTAGGCCTTAGATTAGCTATAGCACTTTTTACCTACTTTAGCTTATAGTATTTAAAGTAGTTAGTAAACTACGCGTCTAAGACTTTATTTAGTAAGCATAGGTTATATGCGTGCAATAGGCTTATATTATACAGCTATGTTGCTGCGTCTACTACTTCTAGCTAGAGCTTCTTAGGGAGTCCTGCGCTACTTCTTATTTTAATAAACTTTATAATTATCTCTTATTTAGCTCTTTCTATAGCTCTATTTAGCTTATAAGTGTATAGTAAAAAGCTTTTAATATTAATGCTAAACTTTTTTACTTAAAGCTTATACCTTAACTTTCTATGCTAAGAGAGTGTAGTAGTGTTATTATTTTACTATATTTTACTAATCTAAAGCTTATATTAATTAAACACTATGCTTTTAAAGTTCTTTATTACTCTCTAGATTTCTAAGAGCATTTTTACTTAAAAAAAGTATAAAAAATTTTACTGCTATATTTATTCTTAATAATTATTATTTATAGAGCTCTGCTACACTCTAATAGCATATTAAACATGTCTTATGTAATTCTTTAGAATAGGTAGAGAGCTTACTTTTTTAGTCTTCTTAATATAACTTACTTAGCGTGTGTTGTTGCGTAGTGCTTATAGTGTACTTACTTTGTACTTATTATTTATATGTTCTTTGCGCTTTTAACTAAAGCCTGTAGAGCTTTAGAGCCTAGGTGTCCTACGTGCGCATACTAAAGCTCCTTTAAGTCTAAGCATAGAAATGTAGTCTATAAGTGTTAGTAATTTAGAAGCACACTTTGCACTAGTAAGTAGAAAAAAATAGCTTTATATTTAATAAATATAAAGTTATGTTCTTAGTAAAGTGTTATAAGTACCTTATTCTTTTTTAGTGTACTTATATGTAGTGTATAGTTAAGTCTTAAATACTATAGTCCTTTTTCTCTTAAATAAGCTTCTAAGATAATATTAATGTAAAATTCTTTTACTATAACTACCTTTTATAGTGTAAGATTTTCTGTGCGCTCTTTTTATACTTTGTTTAACACCTTTCTAAGCTTTCTAGTTTCTGTTTTCTAAATTAAGAATAACTAAGTGCTAGCTTTTACTATATATAAACTTTAAGCTTTTTTAAATAACTTAGGTATAAGTAGCTTTATACTATTTACTAAGTGCATAGCACTTTTATTGTCTAAAATTATGCTTATAAAGAGTAGGTAAGTGTTAAAATCTATAGTTATATGCATCTCTAGTTTTACTAGAAGCGCTAAGTTAATAAGTGTAGTAATAATGCTTTTTAAAAATGCTAGCTTATCTAATCTTTTAATAGCTTTTAGAGCAGAGGAAGCTTTATCTAGAATTATATAGCCTTTTTTAAGTAGTATAGCTTTTACTTTTTTATGCTATACTTACTTAAGCCTCTTAAAAATCTTTTAATATGCAGTTTTACTAAGCTTTTTTAGCTTTTTAGTAACTACTAATATAAGGTCTCTATAGTCTACTACTTTTTATAAATAAAAGGATTACTCTAAAGCTCTACATAAGCACAGGTAGCCTAATTAGGCTAAAATAAATTAGGCTATATTATTATCTAATTATCTACTAAGTGTTATAAATATACCTGTGCTTTAGTTGCTTACATGTAAGAAGTGCTTCTAAAGCATTATTAAGAAGATCTTACTAATTTTCTAAATTATTAAAGGTTTTTTACTAAGTGCGCTAGCTTCTATAACTCTTTAGTGCATAAAGCGCGCCTAGTCTAGTGTAAGCTTTAGAGCTAGGGCGTCTAGGAAGTCTTATGCAGCTAGCTAGCCTTCTATGTTAAGAATCTTATAGGTTCTTACCTTAGTGTATAAAAAGTACTACTACTAGTACTAAGCTTTTAGGGTTATAGTACTATGCTTTACCTTAGTAAAGTAAGCTTTATACTTTACTTATATAAAAAATTTTATGCTTACATTTATTAGTGCTAGCTTTTGTTTTAAAGCTTATATAAGTGCTTATAGAGTAGATTAGTTCTCTAACAT